GAAATTTTCATATAGATCAGCGATCTATGAACCTAATAGACCATGGATAAAATAAGGAATGGCGATACTAGATAGGAGATCAAGTTTGTTCACCTTCTTTAAATTCTTATATCTACCAGGTAGATCTTAGCCTAAAATACTATTGATGATACGCTACAGATACAATATAAGGAAAGGTGGTGCTGAATAGGAGATCAATATTCGGTCAGAAGAGCATATCCTAATTGCTAAGGCTTCCTATATGATCGATAAATATCATGGAATGGAAGCTACTATGTTATAGACGAAATGGCTATATTTGCTATTTGCCTGAAGGTCGATACTAAAGAATTGGCATTGGGTAACAACGACGCAAAATTAGAAATTCTCCTTATTATCATGCTGAAAAGCATACAATACCTATTTTTGGAATAGAAAATAGTGCGTCAAAGTAAAATGAAACGGACCTCTTCTTGCATCAAACAACAACCAAGCAGAGCATTATCTACACACTAGAAAGATTCTGAAATGCATAGAAGAAAATCAAATTCGCTTAATATCTTTCTACTGATTGGAAGTGGAGATCGGGTTAATTTTATAAATCAGAATATTCGACATATATGCACATTTTGTAGATTTTATGAATTGTTAGCACGATTGATTCCATTTAGTTTTCTTGAGTAAACAAAAATTTCACAAAAGAGGGGTAGTTATTACGATTTTGTCAACATTCTTTTAATAAAATCTGTTTTCAAGATGTACAATTTTCCTCTTTCACCAAGAATTAGAAATGTACTAGGAGCAGATAGCGCGAAATAATAAAATCAAGCCTAATTTTTAAAGTACCACGGTAACCTTTAATATTATGTTAATGAAATCAACGCTTGGAGCGAAATTAAAATACAAGCCATATAATAAGTTGTCGATTAATGAGTAAATCAGGTCTATATATGTCAGGATCTTCAATGTAATATTAAACAAATCATCATTCAATCGATCAATTTTAATCAGAAATGGGCGTAAAGAGCTATATGCTTTACCTACACATAGATAAAAAAAGATTTTAGTGAAGCAGAGAATGCCAAATTGGTCTTTATAGGTATTGTAAGGGTTAATAATACCACTATTAAAGATGCAGTCCTTAATATCTTGTACACATAGGATACTTCTTACAAAAAAGAAACATCAACCTCAGCATTCATAGGAATAGCAAATAAACAACCTAACGAAGCATAAACTAGATAGGTAATTGAAATTCCAATACAGAGAAGCAAAACGTATAAAATATAAATAATAGCAATTGCAAAAATTTTCCAAAGGAAACTGGCGACTAGTTGGTTAGCACCTGAATTCCAGCCAAATTTAAAATGAGAATAGGTATCCGTAGTGTTACCGCGGAATAACAGACTGTCGGGGTTATGAAAATCGTCGCTCATTGAGCTGCAGATGGATTCATAATACACTTTTTAACAAAAATCTAAATCATAAATTAAACTAAGATCTTTTCAAAGGCTTTTTACGAAAATTAATATTCAATAGTTCATAATTAAAATACTATATTTAAATTATGTCAACTTCAATATCAATGTTATATCCTATGTACGGTACTAAGGCATACAGCTGTGAATAACAGCACCGCTAAGCACTATTTTTAATACTTTAGATGGTAAACAGAGCTTCAATGTTCTACAACAATCATCAAATGCTAATCTATTTTAACTAGAGTTTCCTTAAATTTTATGCTTTCAATTTTAAATCGTAACGTACTACACCATCAACGATAACAAAAGACAATTAAAATCAAAGATAAGCAAAGATATAAAATATCAATTTTTCGAAATTATTGTATTCATCCTTAATTGCTCAATTTATATTTTATTTAGCTCTCTAGCTAAATAAAAAAACGAACCGTTATATATTTACTTTATAGATTAGCTCCTATTTAATCAATTTTAAGTTTGATAGTCAATCTCGTAGAAATTTGTAGTTGTTTTAGACAGCTGATAAGAGCAAATTATTAGTAATTGAATAAGCACTATAAATGTTGTAAATATCAAAGGGTACAAGCCAATAATTGGGTTTATAATTTTAACTTCATTTTACAGGCCTCAGCTTGCAACAAAGGTCAGTTCTATCAATAGTGCTGATTGCGGAGGAATTGCGAGAACTGCTAATATGCGTACAGTAAAGGATCAAATACAATCTTGCTCATCATAATCCGAAGTATAAGTAAGTATTAAGAAACGATAGCTGAATTACCCGGATAATTGTAAATGGCTCCTTTAGCTATACCATAGAGACAATATATACAAAATCTTTTGAAGCTGAAAACACTGCCATAACATACCGTATTAGGGTTGGTATGTAAATAAACATTTGAAGATTTTCCTGAAATAACTTTTACTGGCCCATTTTCTAATACGTTTATAATTGTTATTTTTTTTTGCGGCATGTTAATGCTAACTACATTTTACTATTTACGTAATCATTAGTATCATATAGTATTGTTAACTGAAGCATTACCGCATAAGATTCAGATAAGGTTTATACAGTAAGTTCTTTAAAGTTATAAATTTGACTAGCGGTTCCAATTTTGACGAGCTTAATCGTCGAGCGACGTCGTGCATTCATTCCTTTCGATATTATAGATTTTGGTATAATTTCTTATAATTTTACGGTACTGCACTCTAATATGAGCAAGGTATGGCACTATATTAATGGTTTACCTATATGAAATTATAACTTCAAGGTCCATGAAATTCTCTGAATTTTTCAGTGCATTTCTAACATTGCCAGGCTCACATTGGATATGATGTTTAGGAACAGAGCAGATACTCATTTACATTGTAGATCTAACGTTTAATTACTGTATATTTAAAGCGGATATAATTGAAAGATTAAATTACTATGTAATTATGGTGCTATGTGGTTCAGTTATCAACACAGGCTATTGTTTCGAGTCAAAGTAGCGCTAACAAAGTAATACTGCGACAGAGGGCCATAAAATGGATTGACTATAGATTATGTAACCGAAATAATGACTTCTCTCTCCTGCAGAGGACCAGGCAATTGCGATATCCTTATAATAGTTCATGCAAATCAGGATTTTCTGATGTTTACTTGACTTTACGATATCATCCGAATTCCAAAATAGATTACATCATATCAAAATGTCCATTAACAAATTTAGATATTGAAGTAAGAGAAGAGGTTTTTAATCATGCAAATCTCAGAAAAAGTATAGGGAATTGATCGCTATTGATTATTACGAAAAAAGTTTTGAAAGAAGTTTAATCCTTCTCACTGAATTGAATAACTATCGTTGGCTATTCCCATATTTCTTTACATATCAATCTATGTTATCCGCAGAACAGGAAAATAAGGCGCATAACAGAATCGCAGTAAAAATTGAGTCTACTGTTATTGAATGAAGCATCCATGAGATTAAGTAGAAGGTGGAAGTCACAGTTGAATAATGAGGAGGAATCGATGATGGAAGATTATCGGATTATGTTTTTCTGATACTATTAATCATATATTGTATACCATCATAATCGATCAGATACAAGAGTAACTAGCTTTTTCGCGTGTATGTCAGAGCTAGATCCGACAAACTATGCTTAAACATTTTTGAAGCGATACCGTAAAATTCTTGAATATACACTGTAAATTAAAATATGCAATTGAATTGAATTTCGAGTCATGGGAATTTAGTGCACTAAATTTTTTTAAATCTGACACCGATAAAGTACGATTCGAGAATCAAAAAAATTATATAAGAACGTAAGACATAAAGGACATTCATATTTATTTCTATTTATGCGAATACTAGTCGGAGGTAAACAAATGGTAAATGCTTATACTTTTACATGTGAGTTACCAGCACTTTTCTACACGCTGAATTCTCGAAGTGATAGTATAGCACGCATATACGTAGTTCCTTTTTTCCATCTGGTATTACAAAAAATCGACCACTACTTTAAGTATCTAGAAACTTACAAGACAGAATACAATTTTATTGCGTGACTACTGTATTAGGCAATTGGAAGAAAAATCAAAAGATGTGTCAATTACAGTGTCGTAAAAGAAGCAGATAAAGAATACTACGTATAATTATTTATTTACAAGAACACTATATGATTCAATAGATACAAATAAGGTAATAATTGCATCATGTAACTATAAGATTATTCATGCAAAGGTCAAAATACGAGTACAAGGGTCACAGAGCGATAGAATTGAAAAACAAATGCTCATACGTTGCGATTTTCGTCGCCATGATATTCATCTACTCTTGGTAGAAAATTCTATTCTAGAAAATAATATCACGTGTTATCATATTACTTATGTGCAGATAATGTAGAGTATGCTAGTATGAGATCTATCCAACCTTGTAATAGTATAATATATTAGCCTATGATTAAATCATAGAGACAGGGTAGAAACCTATGGAATAGATTATGATTTTTTCTGTGTATTACAAGTGCAGTAGATAGATAACTATGATATGCTCTATAATTGGGATATTATAGATTCGATCTACGCACGAGTATATATGATTGCATGTATTATCTGGGATTTCTATTAGGAAAAAAGTGATACCATCGTGAAAAGTAATTATTTTAACTCCTTAGATGCATGTGTCATAGTTTAATTCGCTAAGAGTAAAAAATTTTCTGATTGCCTGGTGTGATATATTCCTTGCAATTCGGAACTGTAGTAACATTCTATTGAACACTGAACATTTGTGGCATAACTGCTTTGAAAATCTTGAAGGAGAAGACTGCCTAGTAACCATTTCTTTAATTATTTTAAAGACTCAATTTAACACATTTGTTGTCAAACGGCCATAGTACCGTCGGTATACTAAACAGTTTCATTTTTTAACTAATTTAGTATAGGAAATTTAGCAGAAATAAGTCACCAACTTACTTTTTCGTTAATTAATTACTGTCAGTAGTCAATCATCCTGCTTGTTTCTCTTGAATTAAGATCAAGCCTAGTATTATCTTAATTTAGAGATGCCTTCTGAAACTACCTTTTGCTTCGAGGACCATCTACCAAGATTCCCTGTACCAGATTTTCAAGACACTCTAAAAAGATACTTGGCCTCTGCTCGTATAATTGTCAGCGACAAGCAATATAAAAAGACAGAAGCACTTGTTAAAGAATTTGGCAAACAAGGAGGAATCGGCGAGCAGCTTCACGAAGCTATTGTAGAAAGAGCAAAGACTACTGATAATTGGGTTAGTTTTACTGTACCTTGTAAAAATTTTCATTTCTGTAATTCCATATATTCAATTTTATTCTATATTATGACATCTATTTCTTACCTTCGCTCAGCAAATATGACTAGATTAAATCAAGTAGGTGCGGTAGTATTTGACTAATACCCAATGTAGCTATCTAAACATTAGTACGTAGTTGTCAATATGTTTAAGCATTAAGAAGTTTCAATTTTTTTAACTTTATTTGGCCGAGTGGTTAGCGTATTATACTTTAATCGACTATTCTATTGCTCGGCTATGCACCATTTAATTATAAAAAGCAGCCCAGTAACACCCGTCGTATATGGGATACACTTAAAGCTTACGGTCCATTCAGATCTAATTGATCAACTTAATTCAAACTGACAAAGCTCATTACCCGCAATCTAAACCTAGTTTCTCATCGGAGAAATAGCTCGTTAATCCTCGTAGAGTATGTTAATTAAATTTTCAGCTCTAAATAAGTTTTGAAATCTTCTTCAACAAGCGATAGACGGACTTTTAGGTCACATTTTGTACTATATTATTTGATTGTGCCCGTGATCTGAAGAATAATTTGTATTAGCAAGTGTAGGAAAAATTGAATTTTGATTTCGAAATATACAACTAACATGTATAGACACGATTTATTATTGACCAGCAGTGCAATCCGTACATAATGAACGAAAACAGCTTCCGTATGCCCATTCACTGATATAAACTCTATGTATTTAGAACTGATTGCCATATATGTCAATTCATAATGTTTTGATTAATCAGGAAAATACTCGACCGGTGTAAAGGCCAATTTTTAAACTTATCTCCGTTCAATTCTAGAGAATTCTATGTTGCAATGCTATATGCAACTACGCCACCAAGCACAATTTTCTTGTTTTTGCAATAAGAAATAAAAAAATATATTATGTAAATGTGGTATTAGACTGTAGATTATATTCTTTCACCGATTCTACAAACGCAATAGTTCGTGTAGTCTCTTAAATGATTCTAGTGCAGATGGCTATAAATAATACAGTATTGAGTTACTATTAAGGTTAGAGGAAAAAACAGAACTGCACATTATAAACATCTTGTTATAGTTAGAATATCGTACTTTGACTGGTAGATATAAATGCCTATGAAAATACTGTAGTCGTTTCCATATTGTATTAATGATGGCTCGCGGTAAAATATTTATAATCTGACTATGTACAACATAAAGTAAAATGTAGCTATGCTGATTGTAGCTACTAATCCTATGGAAACTATAAGAGTATACGACATTAGATTATTTGATAGTTGTTACTAGAAGTCATTCAGTATTCTTATTTGGCTACAGCACAGCTGCATGTAGTTATTCCTCGTATTTGATCTAAAAAAGTTCTAATGTTCTACTAGCTTAAAATTTTGGTGATCGAATTTTATCAAATTTTATTATAATTAGTCTTTAGTAATAAAGCGTTGATCCATTCGCACGCAAAGTAACCAATAGTATATAATATTTATCATAGGAATAAATTTTACCTATTTCCTTTTCTACTTAATATCATAGTTAACTGATTGGTGGACAAAGTACGTTTATTTAAAGCCAAGAGAGTCGATTGTACTGAACATCTCAGTTGCCACTATTGCTGGGTATGAACCTGTCCAGTCAGAAGATGACTATATTACGTAAGGATTAGAAGATCAAGAAGGCGATTGCATGTTTTAGTTCCGGCTATAATTGTCGTCTCTCTAAGAAAGATATTATATTCTCTTTTTTAAATTAGTCTGGCGGCTAAAGCAGCTGTTGCTACAGCGACATATTATTGGCAAATTTACCAGTAAGTGCTTAAAGTTTACATATTTTTGATAAATTAATATTGCTGTTTTACAGCAATACAAATCTAACTATTCTAACGATGATGCTTGTATAGGGTTTGATTTAAACAGAGTCGATCTTAGCACTGTATAAGTGATAGACTTTATTACAGTAAACTAATTGCTATATAAAGGCACACAGAGTATACGGTAGGATGTGTGTATTCGAAATGCCATCGTAAGATACTGTAATATAAACTATAAGTTTATAATGTAACTAGTGGAAATAACTACCTGAAGAGATGATGGATACATCGCTTTTATACTAGTCGTTTACTATACCACTGATCATCGTTAGATATAAAAGGAGTCTTTGTGACTTTAAATTAGATGAAAAATTATAGTATCAATAGAATATTTTACAGTCAAAGCTATGCATATAGGCATCATTATCTACAAAGTAATGAAGGAAATAGAATGCGCTGTAAGATATATAGAAAGACACTGTATACAGTACAATATCTTAGAATAATAATTTTATTTAGAACTAGCATCATGACATCCTGACCAACACAATATAATCGACGAATATAATTTCTGTCCATTTTATGCTTTCGTTTTAGCCAAACTTTACCAGTAAATAAATCCGGTGGAGCACCACTTGCTATGTTCCAGAGCATGAACTTATTTGGTAGTAGTAGAATTCCTAAGCATAGTATAGATGAATTTACACCGCGAAATCTGGACGATGAGCCATCATCAGACTTAATTATTTCTCACAACAATCAGGTATGTGGTACCGTAGGATTCTATAGTAATTTACAGTATAAAGTAAAAATAATTATAATCAACTGCTTAATTACGGCACTCTCCGAATGCAGTGCGAAATTATTTTAGATTATCAAGCTGCAGCACAGTATATAAATAGTATACTAGCGTAAGGTTGAAACTGAATAAGATGATTTAGAAAAGTATTCGTAGACAATCAAATTAGTTGTACTTTACTCCTAAATTATAGTTAATTCCTGGTTTTAGCCTTCGAAATAAGCATACAATTTTTATGGGAATCAATTCTGAACCTTTCGACTTGCTATGTTAAAATTAGAAATACTGTACGAGGTTGCGTAATCTATTTAAAAAAATCAATATAGAAATTGAACTGTTGTTATAGGCTTGTTACTAACTGCATAGATGGTGCAAGTATTAAGTACACGTTTATGATACTCAAATTTACAGTAGCTAAGTTTAATTTTTATTCTATCTCATTACGTATCGTTATAGTTTTTCATTGTTAAAGCAATCAAAGATGATAAAGTCATTTCCTTTACCGAGATGAAAATTCAGATACAACGAGTTATACAAATGTCAACTGAAGTAGTAGAACCTGTAGGCATACTAACAACAGCAGATCGTGAAACATGGGCTGATGCCCTTCAACTCTTAACCCAAGGTGATTTGAATATTATATTTGTACACCAATATAATGTAACATTCAAAGTGGGATACGAGAATATGAAGTTACTATTACATTTTAGATCCTGAAAACTATCAATCTTGGCATGCTATCCATCGTGCAATCACTGTCATAAGCTTAGAAATGATAAAATGCGAACCCAACGTTCAACCAGATCATCCTAATTATCAAGATGAATTATATAGTCTATTTACGTCTGAAGGTTTGCATGCCAATGGTAGTCAGTATAATTCTGCAAATCGATGGAATGATAAAATTGTTGCTTGCTATGTGGGCAGGCATGGGAATTATGGCACGTTAGGAGAGCATTCACATGTGGATGGAGTTACTGTCGTTTACTACAATGTTTTTTTGGATCAACAAATGTGATTATATTAAATTAACAGTATAGTAGCTCTTTCGATTTTATAGTGTGAATGAAAATATAATCTTATACGTCAACTTGTATATGGTGTAGCATCCTTGCAAGTAAATGCAGATTAATATTTGATGTCTTAAAATAAAATAACTAAGATTATGAGATTAATTCTAAAATGAAAAAGCATAGCACATTTGTTGCTTAAAGCATTATAATAACATCTTTATACCATGTGGACTAGCAATATCATAAGCATAAAGCTACATTTTCTAATTTTTTTAACGTAGAAAAATGATGGAAACAGGTAAGTCTGTTCCACAAGAAGTTTCGAATCAAGTTGAACCACCGAAGAAAATTCAATGGAGGCTGAACGATGAGTTGCATCAAGTTATTCGACAAACTGCGGAGAAATTTGATAAGTTAGTCTATTATAAAAATAATTGTAACAAGAAGTTGCTTTCATTAATTTTGAATATTCGCGTAACCATTCTTGAACATTTCGATTGCTGCAAGCATATCTAATTATGTATTGACTTCCAGAACTTTAAAGAATGTCAACCAGCGTGGTATGATCTTTAATGACTACGGCAAAGAGTTTATTAAGTCTATTGGGATAAGTCCTGATAGCTTTATACAAATGGCTCTTCAATTGACTTATTATATGTAAGTGAGTAATAATATACATTAACAAAGAATACTATTTCCTTGTATGCTAAACTACTTGAATTATAGTATGTAAAAACAGTGTGATTTCTTTTTATGGTGTTATCGTAAATCATACGATTTAGGAACTAAATAGTGACACGATCTCCAATATACTTGTACATATTCCATCTAAGAATATTTATGTGATTAGTATAAATAGAGTTTTTTTACAACTGAAATAGTACACAAAAATGCAGTAGAATACAGTGTATGGAAATAAATATAATAAAGATTTGAAAGATATTTTCTTATCTTCATCCGAAAAAAGTAAATTAGGGGACAATTTCCTTTTCTAAATTAGACTTGAGAGAAAATTACCTAATCAATACGAGAGCTGTACACTAGCACGTTATGCTCGTGGTAGAACGGAAGCTATTCGCGCAACTACACCTAAATCTAAGATACTCTGCAAGATTTGGATAGATCCTAAATCGACGGTAAAGAATAAATTTAACGCGATGGCTACGATAAATTGGGATTTGAAACATTCCTTTTTCTGATATTTACGATTGCGTTTTCTTAAGCTTTCTATATAATAATATGCCGGATAATATTTCGTCTAATTTATTTTCATCACCATTCTAACGGATGTGTAGTAATAATATGTAGACCATAATTTATGAATGCTGCTCGTATTGAAGAAGATTTACCGCCTTAATTAATTTTTCTACGATACGCTGATAGACATTGGAATCATTTCATAGTAGCGACTCTAAGAATTTATATGCTACTACATCATTTCTAGGCATGTAATCAATGTATAATACTATACTACCGTGTAGTGCAGCCCCAAATATAGCTTAGATTACTATTATAAGACCGTACGAGAATAACTTAACTTGTAAGCTAGAGTGTAAGATTGTGTAAGAGTCTATTTGTAGAAGATGTTTACAGTACGTATTGTAGCGAATCTATTAAGATGTTTATATAAAGATCTGAGGTACTGTATAAATAGATTTGCGCTAAGTATGTTAGTACTGTAAGTATTGTATTGTAATGCTTTAAATAGACGCGCGAATTATGAATAGATTGCGCGATAGTAAATTTAGATCTGATCTTGCGACTTAATGGGCAAGATTATCGCTACTACTAACCATATTAATCTTTTTTTTAAAGTTAAATGAAAAAAAGGCTGCTTTCATGGAGGCTACAAAATCTCAAAGTCAGCTAGCGAAGGAAGTACGTAGAGTGATAAAATACTCATAAAATAAACTTATTCATTACAATCTCTTTTAATTAAATAAAAGGCTGGATTAGGTAAAGCCTGGGATAGAATTTTATTTGGAATACGAATAGCAGCATTAGAGAAAGGCCTCCCTGAGCCAGAAATATTTAATGATCCTACTTTTAAATTAATGAATCAATTTCAACTTTCTACCAGCCAGGTAAGATCATTATCTAATGATATTGCCATAATCGTATAATTTCATCCTTATAACTGGTGGTCAGAATATTTCAAGCTTTATACCAAAGTTGATTTTAAGTTAAGTAATATAACTTCCTAGGGTATATTAAGCATCAGTCCTACTTTATTGATCATAATCGATAAATGCTACGTACTAGTATTAATCTTAAGAATAAAGCGTTTTTAGGCATATTAGATATAATTTCATTGACTTTCTAATTTAGGGCACATACGGACCAATTTCAAATTCACTATTTGTACCGGTACATGAAGAAGGTTATGGTATATCTTATAATATACAATCAGATCGATTTACTTTTGCTTGCTCCGATTTTGTAAGTTGTGAAAAAACGTCTAGTAAGAAATATCTGGACACGTTACGACAGTTTCTTGGCAATTTTAAACGACTTTTCACCGAAGAAATGTAATGATAGTTAATTGTTAGAGTTCTCCTTCAAGTTTATGAACTGATATTAGTATTCTATCTTTAAAAGTATAACATATTTGATTAATTACGGTAGATTTAACACAGTCTTTTCGTTTTTTATTAAACTGACTACTTTACTCTGGTTAGAATTTAAGAATATTCCGTAGCGTAATTTTGTTAACAATTAGATATTATAAAATTGTAATTTGAGCGATGTATTTAGTCAGTAAAATATAGATAAATCTAACTAGATCATAAATTACAGTGTAAGTTATGTTATATTGTGATTTCATACAATGTGAACTGGGTTCTAATTTAAGATTGTTGTCCTACCTTTGTGTATACCGTAGAAAAATATAACATCAAGCTAAATAAAAATTATCATTAATTCAGTTATTTCACGAACCTACAATAAAATTTATCTTGTCATATGTGTTTAATTACAAGTTTAATTCAGAATACTTTAAAGTAATAACTTAATAGTTTAATACCACTAGATACTCTGCGTAGCATATAAGAGCTGGCGTAATTCATTAGTTTAGTGATTTCAATACAGAGAAGAAGATGAACTCTTGGATATAGTCATGATTAATCTCATTGATTTGATAGTTTTGTTGGTAGAGGTTGTGATTTGACCGGCATTTTGTAATCCGTTTAAGTAATTTTGATGAGATTGTTGTTAGCAGTTATAATAAAGTGACATTTTCTCTTAAATATATTTGCCTTAGACTTCAATAGTTGATAGTTTAAATTAATATTTTCGTTCTATATTACTTGAAGTCCTCGAATATCTAATCCCTTTGAGAATGTTATGCATTTAGATTAGTAAATTGTTAAAGCAGGTATTCAAATTTAGCAATAAAGACTAATTTTTTGCAAAGTTAGCACATTGATTTTATATTTATGGATCAATCAATTATCAAAATTAGTTTTTCAGCATTATTTTAAATTGATATGGATGAAGTCGCATTTGTTCGTAAGTTTTATTTGTTAGTTCATAAGCACTATACTATTTACGATACTTACTACTATATCGGTTTAACGAAAGTCAAATCAATCAGGTTACTGGTGCTGTATCTGTATGATTTACGCATAAGTGTTAGTGATATTACCTTATATTACTAATCTAATAGAAAATAAAGAAATATTTTCAGTCAGTTACATTAAATATTTACTAATTACAATAACATTACAAGTGCCACTGGTAAATCTTTGTATCTTCACGTATACAATAATTTAGATAGCGAATAGCAGAAAAATAAATATAAACTAATGACTTGCAGTTATTTACAGCTACATTTTCGAAAACGTTATGGATTGACGATGGAAAATTAAAGAAGATTTGTCATTCTAAAATTCGGAATAGATAAAAATGAGTCTAAAAGTAGAAACAGATTAGAATTAGCAAATTGACATATGTACTACTTAAAATACTACCCGGGGTATCTAAAACTCTTTTATTCACTTGACTTGTGGGTGCATCCCTTATTCCATGTCAGTAAAATGATTGAATGTAATTGGAAGAGCGCTATGTATTACAAATGAAATACATTTTTGTTTGAGGAGATTATTTTATTTAAGAAACTGCTAAACAAACGATAAACTATTCTCTTGCACATAGATCTAAGGCAGCTGGCACACTTTAAAAGTAGAAAACGGTTTAGCTTTAACATCATAACAAAATATCTAATTTTTTAACATACTACTTGCATATCTTGCTCATGACTATATTTTTGTAAGACACATTCGTAACAGAGTAGAATCACCATCTTTAAAAGAATTCAACAAATTGATCATTGATCATCATAAGGAGCCAACCGTCTATTTCGCCTACGCGCTGTTATAGATTGTAATCTAGAAGAGAATGCTAAAACAGTCTCTATGGGTATAGTCAGAATTAAAAATGCCACTATTAAAGACAATGTCCCTAATATTTTGTATAAATTGAATATTTCTTGTCGAAGAGATACATCGATTGCAGCATTCATAGGAATAGCAAATAAAGAGCCTAACGAAGCATAAACTGGATAGGTAATTGATATTCCAATACAGAGAAGAAAAACGGATAAAACATAAAAAAAAGCAATCGCAAAAATTTCCCAAGGGAAACTAGCGATGGTTAGCACTTCAATTCCAGTCAAATGTAAAATGAGAGTCGGTATCCATAATATCACCATTGAATAACAGCCGATTAGGGTTATAAGCATCGCTGATTGACCCACAGATGGATTTACAATGCACTTTTTGACGAAAATCTAAATCATAAGTAAAGCAGAAAAACCCTTTCAGAGGCCTTTACAGAAATTAATGTTTGATGTTTCATGATTAAAGTAGATTATCTTTAAATTATATCAGCTTCAATGTAGACAAAGTCGATTCAATCTATATGATGTATCCTATCTACGGGGCTAAAGCATACAGCTAGTGCTTTGATAATATTATTAGAAATTCTTTGTACATTATTCTTCACATAAATTTATCATTTATATATAATAACAAAAGAAGATAATCTCAATTCTCGCTTACTCGAAAAAATGCTGCAAAAAGAGCACTTGCAGTAGCTAATAATACACCAATCGTCTTAAATGATCCCAATCCTTCAGAATAGGCTACTAAGACTACACCACCTATGGATAGCAGCACCGCTAAGCTCTAAATTCAATACATAAATGATGAATAGAGCTTCGATTTTCTACACAAAGCAATCGTTAATTGCTAATCTATTTTAGCTTGAGTTTCCTAAAATTTTATGCTTCAATCTTAAAATTATAAGGTAGTATACTATCAACGATAACAAAAGATAACAAAATAGAAAAACGAGGTATAGTTATGAAAAATCAATTTTTTGACATTATCCTATTTATCCCTAATTACTCAATTTACTCCTATTTAGCTATCTTACTAACCAACAGCAAATTAAAAGATTTTAGGTTCGATAGTTAATCTCAAAGAAATTTGTATTTGTCGTAGCCAGCTGATAAAAGCAAATTATCTGTGATTAGATAAGTACTACAACTGCTGTACATATCAAAATGTACTAGCTAGAAATAGGGTTTATAACTTTAATTTCATTTTTCAAGTCTCAACTTGTAACAAGTGTCATTTCTATCAACTGCTCTAATTGTGAAGAAATTGCAATAACCGCTAATACGAGTACAATAAAAGATTAAATGCAATTTTTTTCATCATAATCTGAAACACAATTAATAACTAAAAAATGACAGCCGAATTACCCGAACAACGATAAATGGTTCCTTTAGCCATATTATAGAGAAAATATAAACAAAAGCTGTTGAAGCTGAAAAAACCGCCATAACGTCTGTAGGAGATGTAAATGTTAACGCATAGTAATATGCGTAGTTTGATATATTAAGAATAATAACCAAAGCCGGTATTCTAATGGTTGCACTTTTAAGGGTAAATCCGTCCTTGCCACAAACAAGAATAGCTTCCCTGCAATTCATGATAAAATTAAATGCGAGAAGTATCATTTAATGAAATAAATGAATAATTGCACCGGATTAGTATTAAAGCTTAAGTTAACCATCAGCACATTTTGAAGTGAAATAAGGATTCCGCAGTTTGATTGAATTATTAATTATTATACATTAATGCGTATGTAGATATTTAGACAATCTCTAAAATGCAAAAGACTACTACATTAATTTATGGGAGTATATCCCTTTATCTGTTGACATTAACAGTAACTGTTTAAAATACCTATATATTTCTTTATGACTACGACCAAAGTAAATCAAAATCGGCGCAATTATTGGATAGATAACTATAAATGCGGAACCAGCAAACCTATAGCAAAACGTGCGTATAAAAAATATAATTTTAGAAGCATCATCATGGTTAAGAAATCAATTCGATGCTATTCATGATCACTACGGCACAAAAGCATTAGATTCATCTGAATTTCGTCACAATTTAACAAGGCAACTCGAAGCTTATCCGCTTGAGCGAATATAATTACCAATTCATCAAGGAAGTCGCAGTTAGATTATAATCTGTGTAGGCTATGTTCGCAAACTGCGAATTACCGCATAGGCATGCACCACTACCAATTACAATGAATATTCCATATATCGTCTTCATAAGGGAGAATTTTGCCGTTATTGTTTCCTTACTCTCTCTATCTCTAATGACTAAAATATAAGATGAAATGATTATCCAAGCCATGTAGTAACATACTTAATAACTGTTGCTTTGTAGCTTTACCCTTTACATAAATTAGATTTAGTGAGTAAAGCCAAGTGATAAATCTTGATTGTAGTTATTATATAAATCATGCAGTAAACTAGATTGATCACTGTAGGTATGCTAACACGTATGTATTCTAAGGTTATATATACAACAGTAGACTATTTAGCTGCTGAAATGTGAGAGTCATTGATTAAGTTTCGGTCCTAGAAAACTTAATGACAAGATATGCAATTAATAAAAACGCAGCCGCATTTTGTTTGCAATGATGAACAAGTAACGTTTACTCGTATTTATTTAACATAGTTACGGACTATGCTATATCTCAAGATAAGGATTATGCTCAGCTCTATTGCACACCAATATCAGGAACAGCTAAGTACAGATCAGTAACAATTCCAAGCATAAAGTTCTATTATATCGAATGTAAACCGTGTTTGGATATAGCAAATAATAAGGAGCTGACTTATTAATCTGATAACATATTCAAATTGCTAGTTTAAAAGTAGAAGTTACCCGCGAGTAAGTGAACAGCAACTAAATTAATATCATTTTGTTACCAATGAGTTGCAAGATTGTATCCAATCAATAATTCTCCGCTAGCTCTCTTTCTGAGCTTAGCTTGCACTGCCTAAAATGCTATCAATTTTTAAGCCTTCACATTCACATGCAGATTACTAATTCAAGACAATTACCGTATACTACATAAATGATCCTATCAAAATCTTGATCAATACTAACGTTAGCCATTGCATCAGTAATAAACATTATAGCATAAACATAACAAACAGTACTAAAGGCTACTTAATTCAATTTGAAATACGGCTAAGAACTCAATTTTTATTTATTTAATCACGTCATCCTCTACTGGCTTGAGCCATTTAATACTGTAACACAACACATCTATATCTATGCTAATAGCTACTATGTTTTACAAGAAACCAAATCCAAGATTCGATGCAGCTCGATTCCAAAATATATGGAATACTAATCGGCATATGCATTAGCTGTTTTTATGAATCTAATCATTCTAAATATACATTTATCAAACACTACGATACCATCTTTCTCAACACCTCACAAATGCACGAAAAGATTTGCGAATACTTTTCAATATTGACTAACGTTTATTTACACTGGAATCCAAATCAAAATAGCCAAGAGTATTAGCACGCAATTTGTCAATAAATAAAGAAAAATAAAGTAAGCAAATATTGTAATTGTCTTCGCAGTTTGATTATAAAGCAGCATAATAAAGTAACGCCAGTCATTGATGAATCATGAAATAGGAGACGATCATATTTTGTGCTTTAAATGTAGACTAGATATTAACAATCTTCGAAGCAATTATTTGCTTTATGGATAATACCTGATAGGTGAGCCATTTCCCGAAATTTTGCATCTTGAGAAATGGGTTGATGATATTCGTGCTCTAGTTCACCTCTTTCTATGATATTTAAAACATAAAGTTACCATCAATGCATCCTTAAGATACATATTAACCGTACAAAGTGCAAAAATTCGATTAGAATTAGTCCTTAAGAAATAGTTCATATAGTGAGTATTTGCTTTGAGGTAACTAATCGATAATTATATAATTTTCGTTACCTAACTGTTCCATTTTTAATGATGCTCTAACGGGAAACAACGATAAAGATTGTATCGAATACTTTAAGATGAAGGATTCAAATAAGATTATTTCAAGCGCTATCATCAACTTTCTGATTAGTAACGTCCAGTATATGATTGGCGTGAGTTTCTCGACTTTTTCCCGTGGGCAATTGATTTTTATATCTAAATAATCATCAAGATAAGAAAGATAAGTGGATCATAAGCTAATAACATTGATAAGTAATTTTTTTCCAGATTGAATATCTAAAGTGTAGAATATCCTACTAAAGCTACCAATAGATCACTGTTTCAGTGCGGCTTGTATACCGGTCGAACCGGTCATACATTTACTAATGACAGATTGTTTATTTATTAGAAATTAGAGATAAAATAACTCTATACTGCGTCCCCAGAAATTGAAATAAACATAAAGTGCCAATTGCTCAAAATTTTAATGATCTATTTACGTCAAATTTTGGCCAAATTTAAAGTTAATACGTTGAAAATTTAAAGGTGCCATTAAAGGCTATCAAGATAGATCGTCCACCTAGAATATCGCCGATGCCTATTATAAGGTGTTGTGGTACACTAATAGTGTGGTACACTAATAGTGCCAATGTCGAATTATTTAAGCTGAATACTATAACAATAATGCTCCTTGTCCATTTTAGAGAATTTGCAGTTCAGAGAAAGGCTGATAATGGCATGAGCTAGATATTAATGGATTGAAATAAGAAAATCAAGCAGTAGTTGCAACCTAAGCGACCATCAAGTATAGACCTTAAAGATCAGCCAAGGAATGTTAGCCGGTATAGTTACAACTGTGCATTCCAATTTCAGAATAGTGCTGGCAAAATAAATTTACAACAATAACAAAATTAATTGTTAAGAAATAAATTGAAGACATTCTAAAGGCCAGAATAAAACTTTACACCAACGTCATTTTATATGGTCGTATTTAGTACATAGGCATCTGATGTCCATAGTGAGATACGGATTGCTTGTGATAGAAATCATCGACAACGTTATTTATACCCGTTCACAGCCAAATAAATATTTTTTAATGTTTAAATGAATGACGATTACCTGTATTAATTTAAAATTGGTGGAATCAATCAATCAAACGATTAATACTACGACCTTCAAATGGTCATCAAAACTGATTTATTTATTGTACACGAATCCACTCCCATTTTAAATCACCAAAGAGTATCAACTTTGATGATCAGCCAATGAATATTAGCTGGTATACTTGCAGCAAAACATTCAAAATTTCAGAATAACACAGGCGAAGTAAAATTTATAACGATAATGTATCAAGACTAGTTATAAAAAAATTGAAGACGCTGTAATTGCTAGAACAAAATTTTCAACATAATTCTTAAAGGCGTATTCAATGTTAGCAGTGATATAGGTTACTTATGATTGAAAGGATTAAAAAAGTTATTCATGCCTATTGATGAGCACATAAGCAATTGAAATGTAGGGATGAACCATGATTACCTGAATTAATTTAAAATCTGGAAAATGAATTGATCAATAGGTATTTGATCATCCAATGATTGTCAGAAAAGATTGATCCCACCCGAATCTACTCCCATTTTATAAAGAAAACTTAAAAAATATTGCGATTCAAGTAATGCTACTGAGCTAGATTTAGAAGAGAACAAAGACCTAAAGGCTTTCAATATAATCAGTGAGAAAACGACACAAAGAATTAAAATAAAACCAAACTTACCCTAACAAGTAATTTGCAACAGAAAAGAGAATCATGCTAGAAAAATTGCAGTAACAATCATTGAAAGTAATTTTGATAGAACTGACAGCCCATTAACTTGCCCGATTCCGGTAGCAACAGTAGTTGATAGGACATGAGCATCGACAAAATAGGATTTTATAAACTGTATGTAGAAAATCGATCACTGTTACAAGTAATAAAGAAGATGTTTAATTCAGAAGTTATTTTCTTGCTTTGGACTGCAAATCAATCTACAGAAAGCGAGCATGGTAGCGAAATCGCTGGATTATTTGTTAACCCCTTTCTGCATACTAGCTTAACCGGATCAGGGACTGCTAAATTAATATTTTAATAGTCCTGAGCGAATCTAGTTTCAATTACAGTTGAAATGGGTTTACAATCAATGTTACCATTTATTATTATCGTAGGTTTGAGTACTCTGATCAAGCTTGGAAAATATCATTATTGAACTGCTGTACTTACGAGCTCCTGATTCGACATTTTTTCTTAAACGTCTTTACTCATCATCGGGAAAATTCAATCGCTTCGTTCGAGAGAAACTAAAACAGATTGGTGTTTTCTGTCGTTAAACCCGATCTTCTAGATTGTGAAGATCCCGTTATTGTGATTCGATGTTAGTGCCGGTGATCGGTATTAAATACAGTGTTATTTTAATGTAGGTTATACTGCTTTATTATAGGCTGCATATTATTTATTATTACTCTTAGCAGTTATACCTTACAATAGCAAACGACATTGTACAATAATAAACATGTAATCATAATAATTCATCATACCGTCATTATTTATACTATTAGAATCTATGCTTCGCGTTCTGTATAGATTTGTACTTTTTACTGAATGCTAATTATACCTTGGAGCTTGGTGCTGCATTAGAATATAAAGCCAGCCAGATTTCTTTATAGGGTGGGGTGAGGGAGAACGTGGGGTAGAACATACCCTTGAAACCTGCTTGAAACCTGATGCTGTAGGAGAGTAACCTGTGATATTGAAAAAGTTATATAATACACTGAATAGTTTCTGGAATAGGAACGATTCCTTACGATAGTAACCATCAATCATAATATACCCTTATGCCTTATACTCTATTAGATTAGCTTATGGTATTGAAAAAGATAATCTGCTAAAGGAGTTCTTAAAGAGAATCCTTTACTTACTATTACGCATTATGCATTAATATATTTATCGATCATAATAAATCCTTAAAAAATCAGACTTCTTTAGATTTTGACTGTAATGTAGTAAACAATATCATATAAAATATGATCTATCGTAAATATAGGGATAGAAAAATTAGCAAATAAACAAATTCGGTTAAAAAATACATTGATTCAGCACCGTATACGTATAACCTAATAAATTAACCGTAGAAATAGTTGAAGATATAAAGCTCACATGTTGTAAGAAGGCTAAAGTGAGATTCTATCAAGTAGGAAATGTGTTTAAAGGTTTACATGAGTTGATGGCATTGAATACCTATGCTGCATAGCTTTAATACGATAGATAACGATAAATGGAAAAAATATAAAGTAATATTTGGAATTATTTTACAAATAGATTTATGAAAGCGTTATGGATTAGTTGCAGAATATATACGAAAAAGATTGATCCTTCTACAATGTGAAATAGATAAAGAACAGAACGCCAAAGTAGACATAAATGAAAGATAGCAATTTAATTTATACTACAGTAAATTACTTTAATAAGATTCTTTTCGTCACTTGACTAGTTGCCGCGTCTTGTATTGCGTATAAATAAATTGATCGCAGTTGGAAGAGCACTATGCAATACTATTGCGAGACTGATACATAGCAGTAATATTTGAGTAGCATCATAATCTTTAAAAATAATTAAAAAATTGATCTCTGATCATTAGATGGTGCCTCCTGTCTATTTTGTCTACGCGTTATTCTAGATCGTAATCTAGAAGAGAATGCTAAAACAGTCTCTGCAGGTATAGTGAGGATTAAGAAAGCTAATATTAAAGATAGTGTCCCTAATATTTTGTATAAATTAAAGATTTCTTGTCGAAGAGAAACATCGATTGCAGCATTCATAGGAATGGCAAATAAGGAGCCCAATGAAGCATAAGCAGGGTAGGTGATTGCAATTCCAATGCAGAGAAGTAAATTGTATATAACATTGAAAATTCCAATCATAAAAAATGGCCAAGGAAAACTAGAGGCAGTCAATACTTCAATTCCAGCCAAATGTAAAATGAGAGTAGGTATCCATAATGTTACTAGGGAATAAAAACCAACTAAGGTAAGAAGCATCGATGTCTGAGCCAAGGATATACTTACAAGACACTTCTTGGATATTACCTAAATCATAAATCAAACGGAGAAAGTAATTTTAGTAGGCCTCTACAAATTTTGGTTTCCTACGTTTTAGTTTTACATTAATTCGACCTAAAGTTAACAAAGTCGATTTGATAAAGATTAACATATCGATGTATTAATACAGCTAATGTTTATACAAGGTGACCAGAAAAATAATTTGTCCTTATTCATACTAATAAACAAATAAAAGTTGATTTCCTAGCTTACCCGAAAAGTCGCTGAAAAAAAAGCACTTGCAGCTGTGAGCAATACACCAGTCGCTTGAAGTGATCCTAACCCTTCAGAATAGGCTATTAAGACCACGCCAGCAATGGATAGTAAAACCGCTAAGAACTGGTTTGGATAGATAAATGGCAAAAAATATATTACAATTTCAGCAAATAACCGGCGCCCTCGTTTCAAATCAGTATGCAGTATTGACAAATACGAAAATAGCAAGTACATAAAATCATCAAATATTTGAAGATTAGCGAGTTTGCATAAAATTCAATATTGCAGCTTCAAACTACGAAGCAGTATGACAACAACTTTAATGTTGAAATGATATAAACATTCAGACCGCTTCTTCACTATAAAAGATGAGCTAATTCAAGATTTTTCTAGCGAGGGGCAATTATCAGCAACTGGAGTCGTAAAGTAAGTAAGGTTGGAAGAAAAGCGGATCTAACAGTAAGCTTGTAGTTTTAAATTCTTGTAACAAGTACGGTATCATTCCTGTTAATAGATCTGATGAAGAAATCATGATAACTGCTGATACAAAGAAGAATCAAGTAAGAATTACCTTCCATATTACTTATAAAATTGTCATTCAAAAGAAATTAGATTTACCCGAATAATGATAAATGGTTCCTTAAGCCATATCACAGATAAAACGTAGGCAAAACCAACCACGGATGAAAATACTGCTAGAACATCTGTAGGAGAAGTAAACGCTAACGCATAGTAATATCCGTAATTAGCCACAGCAAGCATGATAGCCATGGTTAGCATTCTATATGTTGCACTTTTTAGCGTAAATCCATCTTTACCACAAACAAGCATAGCTTCTCTGTAATTGAGAATAAATTCAAGCATATTAAAGTGCGACTTTGATAACTCAATTTAGTGAGTAACTGTACCAATAGAGTACCCAAGAATTTAATGATTTGATTTAACAAATCAAAATCGTACTGTGCATCCGTAGATATTTAAAGCAACTCGAAACGTAGTAAACTATGGATTTTAAACAGATGTGTAGCTTTATCTGTTGACGATAAGTTAAAATACCTGTATATATCTGTATGATTGCGACCAAAGCACATCAAAATTATTGCAATTATGGGATAGTTAATTAGAAACGCAGAGCAAGCAAACCTAGAAGACACAGACATAAAGAAGAAAATTTGAGTTGCGTCTTAAAAATTCTAAAGATCCATTTCCAATTTACTTATGATCACAGGTACGCCAATATCAAACAAATTGAATCCAATTACAGTATACAAAGTAATACAATATTTTAATTACCAATTCGCCATAGATGTTGCAGTAAAATTATAATCTTTGTAGGCAATATTTGTAAATTGTGAATTGGCGCACACAGATGCAGCACTTGTAACAACGATAATCATCCCATATACAGTAGTCTTCATAGCAGAGAATTCTACTACTGGCATTTCAGTGGGTCCTTCATCACTAAATTCTGGGATATAACGTGAAAGTAGCCTATTCAAACTTATGCAAAGCAAAAGAAACCTGAATGATATATAATTGGTTTTCCTAAAGCAATGTGAAATAAGAAAATTTGATCAAGCTTCGTAGTAGGAGAATTATGACTTCGCACTTAATGTTAATACATATGCCATGCAGAAAACCATGATGGTAACTAGTGTATATTCTAATTTACATTTTTAATAGATAAGTAGGTATACAACAGAAAATGTGTTTTATAAAGTTACAGTTCTTGAGCAATTGACAGTAGAAAGGCAGGTAATAATTATATTACTAATTCAAGTTAGAACAAATATACCATTGCTGAACACGCATGTATACTAGCCATCGTTACTAACTCAGTCCTATTCTGAGATAGTAATTTTAGAAAATTCTCATATAGATACTAATATTGAAAGCAGTGATAAGCTAATTACTTCAGTTAGACAATAAGAGTTACAAATTTTACGACCGTGGATAGGAAATGTATTTATGCAATGCTATATTAAGTTTGGAACATGTTTACAAAACGAAGCGTTCTAGCTAAATCTGATATTAATTAATTTTTCTAAAAGATTTACATGAATTCCCTGTCATAGTAAGATACATCCAAATTTCTGAATTCATTACAATATTGGCAAATGTTTCCGTTAGTATCGAATAACTCGCCAAGAATTTTGCTTACAGTTTACAATAAACTGCATTAATAAACAAAGTTAAAAAATCAAGACATAGATCTCCATTTAGACTAATGAATACTATAATAAGGTAGAATTGAATGTATCGGTATGGAAGATAAGGAAAAGTTCGCATTTAGTAGTTAGAATGCAAATTTGACATGGAAAATTATTGTAGCATAAATCTGTCTATTGATGATACCTGATACATGCGTTGATTCTCGGTAATTTTCATTTTGAGCAATAGACTGAAAATTTTCGTTATCTACTTCATTCTCTTCTACGATATTAAAATGATAAAATTTCCATATAATCATGAGTTTAGACGTACAATTCGCATTTAAAATGTAAACTTTTGATAGAAAAAGTCATAAAAACACTAGCCCCAATAGCAAATATTTATCTTAGGGCGATTTATTGATGATTATGGACGTTACTCTTACCTAATTCGTTCATTTCCTATGTGGTTTGCTGGCGAAGTGAGGATATAGATATTTGTATTTGATACTTGGAAGCTATAGAATTTCGATACGATGAGTTAATGCAATTATAATTACCTGTCTGACTGGTAAAATTAAACACATGATTTCACCTAAATATCTTGAGTATTTACCTTATGGGTAAACAATTTTCAATACATTAAAGATCATTTTTATTTTTTATTTTTTTAACATCAATTTTTTAAGGGATTTCTGTGATCAACAACTATTATACTATTACAGTGTTTGCCCAATTGGACAAGATCACCTATCACTCAGTAAAGATTATTTAGTCATTATCTTATGAAACAGCGAGCCAGCATATCACAATCGAATATCTTAAAAGCGATATAGATCGCTTAAAGTAAAAACAAAGGTACACTAAATATTATAGATGCATGCCATAATTAAATAGACTTCAATAGACTCTCGTGAACATTTGGAATTACAAGGATGAAACATTAAGTTCATTGTACAATGTTGTGAGGTTGATAGATCAAGAATCTTCAAAACTTTAGCAGAAAATTAAGATTTATTGAACAAAACCTCGTTTACCAAGATACAACGTAATCGATTAGCTGAGGATCTCTAACGAGAAAGAACCAACTTACTATACTAAACTACTCGCTTATATACTTTTCCGCGTTTACAGTCTTAGCACCTTACTTACTACACATTTCAGTATTAGCATCTCAATTACAGGATAGTTTACACCTTTCATGTGAAGCTCTAGTGTGAGAACTGTAGCGCTCCTCTTCAAAAGGATTCCATTTACTAAGCTAGCTATATTTAATACTTAAGCCTCTAACGAGAATATCTATCACATGTTGAACACAACACCTACGGTAGACATTACTAAATATATCATCAACTTAGAATACAATATAACGCTGTCTTACAAATGTACATCCCCATCCATCTAATAATGTCAGTACTAATGCAAATTTTAATCTCAACTTACTTACAGTCTATTGGTAGAAATCCTTAAAATGAGAAAAATAAGATCAAGATGCCATCAGAAACGATTGATCCCGTGCAAATTCTTCACTATTTGAACATGAGAAGTCAAAAATAATAATACCATTACGGCAGTCGTTACTAAGTTATTATTCGGCAGTAAGAAGATGTTAACGCCTACAAAATATACGAGCTTATATAATTGAATAAATCACTAGGTGAAACAAAGACATTGGACAAAAACTGATTATTCAGGGTTTAATTGCTTGAAGAATAGTCTGATGATCACAATATGCTAAGTGCATTAACAATAACAGCGATACAGACATTGGGGTGGGTATAATGGATTCTATAGCATCAATTTTAAATTTATATCGAAATTGGCCACTCCAACATGTCAGTATAATCAACTATTGCTCATACCTGTTGGGAAATATTCGAGTCTACTGCATACTATGGCAAAATCGACGAAATCGAATTACTTTTGTTATCATAAAGAGTTTGGAATCTAATGGAATCCTTGATGATCTACCTGTAAGCCGTAGATACGATATTAGAACAGCAAATTGTATTTGTAATTCATTGGCGAAATCGATTTTTCATGGAGGATTTTCTTATGATGTTTATTCTGTAAGGTGCAACGCTGTAGCTACCCGATATCGCTAATTATTGTAGTGCTGTGCTATGCTTGCAGTCATAGTTCACGCTAGAAACTGATTTGGAAAAAAATTGTTAGGTAGAATGTTAACAAGTTGGAAGAATTGAGATACATCCATTACCACATAAACTGTACCAAATGCATGGCTGATTTTTTACATCGGTGGAAATAGGCAATAATACAATTTCTAGCATCATATCTAATTTAATTAGTGCGATGTATGCCGCTTTTAATACTAGAAAATAACAATTTTGACATCATTAGACTCTGCCAATGCCAAATAAAAGATGAATCTATGTAATTACCCGATTATTGTAACTGGTTTCTTCAGCCATATTATTGAGAAAATATAGACAAAACCTGTAGCAGCTGAAAAAAACTGCAGTTACATTCGTAGAAGAAGTAAATTGCAGAGCATAGTAACAACAGTAAGTTGCTGAAGCAGTCATGATTGCCGCAAATGGCATTCAGATAGTTGCACTTCTAAGGGTAAATCCGTCTTTACTGCAAACAAGTATGGCTTCTCTGTAATTTATAATATAATCCAATAAGTGATAGCAAATCAGTGAATGAAGGAAATCATTACAGATAGAGTTAGATATTTTTCTTGGAAAATGCTGTAGGAATTTGACACTTTAGCTATATTGTTCAAAACTATCATTGATGTGTAATAAATCACTAATTATAATTGAAATGCACGTATTCCTCTATCCGTTGAATATAAATCTAATAAATACCTATATATATATCCTTGTGATTGCGGCCAAAGCAAACCAGAACCATTGCGACTAAAGGATAATTAACCATAAAAGCAGAGCAAGAAAACCTATAAAATAGGTAAGTATACAATGTAATATACCTGTAGTCGTATCTTCAATAATACCGTATAGAAAAGTCACTTTAACGTGATAGATATATCAGTACAAAGCTCAGGAATGAATTTGCTTAATTACCAATTCACCATAGAGGTTGCTGTAAAATTGTACTTTGTGTGTAAGCAATGGCTGCAAACTGCGAATAGGCAGATACAGATGCACAGCCACTGATTACAACAAGAATTCCGACAATAGCCTTTATGATTGAGGATTTGATACCTAACGTATTCTTACGTCTTTCCTCACCGGTATCTTTAAGACAGAAATAAAAGAGTTGATGCTAGTTCAAGTGCTATTAAAAGTAATTTGTATTTCACAGATACTCTCTACACAAATTTAATCAAGTGCAAAAGGTGGTAGGTATAGTTACAGTTCTGAGCTAATTTTGTGGATAATTCATTAACACTTGCATTGAGAGTATTAATATTGTAGTTATGCAGTTATCAAATGGAAGCTACACCTGCTGGCAGTTTTTACCATTAAATAACCGACAAGGAATCAATTTATGAACCTATTAAAATAGTGGCCTAAGTGGTAAATAACCGAGAAAAATAACATCTAATTTTCCAGTAATGTTTGATTAGAAAGCTAAACACATCATATAAAAAAAAGGCTATTAGTCAGAATATTGAATGATATTATACAAGTAAGATAGCACAGGATTAAAGAAAAATGAGAGAAAAGTTTTATTAAGTGCTAATAATATCGATTTAGGGGGCAATTTACTGACTCAAATAATGATAAATTGTAATGTTAATAGGTATTGTAATACCTGAATTACTCATATACTTCAATTCTGGTGTGTTTACATTTTGATGCGTTGCTTGATTATTTCCATCATGCAATTCGCTCATTTCCGCAACGAATGGCAGTAAAGCAAAGGTTAACATTGCATTTTGTGATTCAATCGTAGGAAATTTTCATTTGACTCATCATTGAATCAGTCATTACTTAGCTCTTTGGTATTATTAGATGAGCGATTTACTTATCCAGTAGCTATTTTAGGTGTCGCCGAATGGCAATTTTCGTGACTTAATTTACTTATTTCTGAGATCAAAAGAAACAACTGTCAAGGCCTAGTGTTGAAAGAGATATTCCTAAACGAGTGAATGAATACTTTTCACAGTCATTACCTATCCTATCGATAAAATCATCAGTATTTTATTCGGCTGGAAGATAAGTTAAAGGCAATGATGAGCTAGGAAACAGAGAGAAAGATAACAGCAGAGTAGCAGTGTTTCGACGAAGTATTTTTAACTGATGATTACGTATGTTAGAAGGCTTGGTTAACGTGTGAGAGTTGGAAGCATACATGCGAATAAATTTCTTCTAACGACTAAGTATTTACACCAATGGATAAGTTCCGTGATCACAATATCAAATTATGCTATTCTATACTACTATAATACTGTATTTTACCTGCATATTACAGATTACAGTGCGTGGCATATGCCACGTATCTCAAGATTCTACAGCAAGCCTCCTTTTTTATCATCCTACATTATTCAGTAGTCTTAATCGACAATTTGTTCGCAAAACCAACTCAAAATTATAGGCGGATGAGTTATAAATGACTCTACAATTACAGTAAACAACTTCCCATAATCATATTATTTTCAAAGTTGATCAACTTAGCCACTCTATTATGTGGAAATTCAAAAAATGGCTACTGATTTTATTGAATATCATTATTATGCCTAATTTATAGGATATCTGAAATCACGCCATCAGACATCAACTGTATAGAGACTGAATATAGATAGACTCAAAATGAACAATAGCGCCGATATTGAATTTTACCAGCAAAAATGGAGTGTATCTGAAAGAGTGTGTCAATAATTACACCAAGCTAGTATCTACGGTAGGTTTCTTTACCATAGCTGAAGCTCCAGATTTCACGATTATCAAGCAATTTACAGTAATGATAATATAATTAGTAAATTGACTTGAACAGCTTGATAATAAGCAAGCATTCAGCTCAGGAAACAACATGATTGACAATTATGCAATCGTATCATTGAAATTCCATCTTGATAGAAATACCATATAAAAAAGGAATAGAAAGATAAATAATTTAAACCAATACAATAAATTTTACTGTGATCTACGAGTACTTATGAAATAATATACATGTATATCTAACTTGTGCAATGTGCATATAAGTACCATAAAATATTCCATAAAATTGTGGTATTGAAGTCAATAATTTAAAAATAAATTATATAAATAGACTTAAACAGAAAATTTTCAAAGTCTCGTACAGTATTACATATCTTCAATAAGGGGTCGGATCTAAAATATAACTAATTATTGTCTACAAGATCTAAAGGTAACAATTTTGCGCACTTTCGCTGAAAATGCAATCATTTTAGGTATTGGTATTGATAAGATTATAAATGCAACCATCAGTAGTACTGTTCCTAAGATTTTGTATATATTAAAAACTTCCTGTCGGTAAGAAACATCGATCGCAGCATTCATAGGAATAGCGAACAGCGGGCCCATGGAGGCATAAACAGGATAAGTAATGGCGATGCCAATGCAAAGTAATAAATCGTACAGGGCATGAAAGAAAATCATCAAAAAAAATGGCCAAGGGAAACTAGCTGCAGATAGCACTTGAACTCCAGTGCAGTGCAGAATCAATGTGGGAATCCATAAAGTAATCAGTGTGTAAAAGCCAACAATACTTAGAAGCATCGCAGTTTGTGATATTGAAGGGCCAGCGACGATTCTTTTTACTAAAACCTATCAAAAGAAATGAAATCCTTTTATAAATCTACTACATTCTAATAGCTTCCATTATTACAGTACCGAACGCTAATGCTCACAATACATTATGTTAATCTCGGTTTTAGGCTTAATAGGATAATAAAATTAATTATGAATTCTATTATCTGACAAAGTATAAAAGAGGTTACCAAATAATGATTATATCGAGTCACCTGCTAATGCAAGAGTAATCACAACAATTCTATCTAGCTTTACTAAGGTACCAACCCTGAAAAATGCTGCAAAAAGTGCACTGACAGCAGTCAACAGCACGCCAAGAGCTGCAAAAGAACCTAAACCTTCAGAGTAGGCTACCAATACAACACCAACTATAGATAATAGAACAGCTAACATCTAAATATGTTAGAAAAACGATAACAGCAAATTAACGAATTTCACTTGGGTATGCAAATATTACAACCCGCAATTGTATTTAAATGAAAAATACTGCAACCAAATTGGAATGTAATTGCTATGAATTAGTTATCTGTGTCAATGAGACACCACGCGACTTCAACACATTAATATCGTGATCCATTGTTGATTTAAATTAATACAATTATGTACTTTTAGCTCTGTCAGAAGTAGGAATACGCCATATCGTTTATAAGCATCAATGTTATTACGAGAATCTAACAATTATCTATGAATATTCAATACCCTTAAAACCACGAACGTTTCTTTTAGCCATATCAAAGATAGAACATAGACAAACGCTGTCGCTGACGAATATATAGCTGTAACATCTGTCGATGAGGTAAACATCAAAGCGGAGTAATAAGTATAAATTGATGCGGAAGCCAAAACTGATAACGCGAGCATTCTTTTAGTGGCACCTTTATAAGTAAACCCTTCTTTGCCGCAGACTAGAATGGCTTCCCTAAATAAATTTAAATATCCAAAAAGTTGAACAGATAGATTGAAGTTCAAAAACTACTTGGCAAATCTGTTATTTTGATCTCAATCAATCACTTGGTTATTGTTTAAATAAGTCGTTACAAAGCGGACTAACACTAAAGCATCCAGATAGTATATAAACTAGCTTTGACTTGCTATGTACTTATGCAATAGTACACATTAGTTTATTCCTAAAGAAGCCATAAATCCATTAAAATAGTTATAATCGAATCATAGACCTCAGCTATTTTATAGTTCCAATACATAAAAATACTCATAACATGCCTATATAATTCGCGTTGATTACGTCCATAACATCCGTATATCATAGCAATAAATGGGTAGTTAATCATAAAAGCAGATCCAGCAAACCTTTTAAAGTTTACAAATGAAAGAAAAAAATTACACAACTATCATAAACTTGTTATTAGCTGTTAAAGTAACTACGATAAAGAAAACTCTAATCAAACAGCAGAGATTACTAAGATAAAGGTTTTAAAGTTTACTGCCTCAACTGCAAATGTTACTAACCAGTTCACAAGAGATGTTGAAGTAAAGTTATAATCGGTGTAAGCAATAGTTGCAAATTGAGATGTTGCACAAACTGATGCTCCAGTACAAATCACAATTACTATTCCGAAAATAATTTTCTTAAGAGAAAAATTTTCTTTTACATGTTTCTCTGGGCTTCCTGTAAGATGAAGTTTAAATGAAGCAAATTATAACTTGTATTATTCATTTAAAATGGAATGAAGGGTTCTAAAAATCGATTACGACATAATATAATATAATTTTGTTCTGCATACAGCTTCTTATTTTGCGTCGATGAAAATGGGGTAGTAATACTGCAAATGCATTTTAAGATTGCTGTATATCTAGATTTATAGTTTACACTACGTATACGAATTCGAAGAATCAGTTCAGTTAAAGAGAAGAGGTGTAGCAAGTAATTACACAGTTAACTACAACCCGTACTAATGAATACTTTGGAAATTGCAATATTATAACCAACTAACTAATGAGTGGTTCCGTATTCCCCATTTTTCCGACTAAATCAATATAGTAAGGAACAAAAGGCTATGAAAACAATCTATAATGTCCTTTAGAATACTATAGTAATAACGTGAGGAAGCAAATTTTCTTAATATCAAGGGATATATGCATAGTCTACAAACGAGGTATTTATGCATCTATTGTATACTACGTTATATTTTATTCTGACTATTCATAGCACTTAGAGTATCTTAAATGTACAGTATGGTCACAATAGTAGCAGTGATGGTATTGATATTAAAGCTCTGCTAAGTAACTAAATAGAGCAAAAAAGGATTGCATTATCACGATATCTACTACTGAATAATATATAGCAATATGATACTAAAGCACATTCAAGATCACCTTCCGTAGTAAAGGAGTCTTCATGAGTCGTATCTTCAGTTGATGGCTGGCTGTTAGCATTAGCTAAATTATTATTTGTATCCACCAATTCCAAACGCATTCTGTAATAAATAACCATCAATATCATCAAAACGGAATACTAAGCCAAGGAAAGTTTCAAAAACTTGAGTAAAGATGTTGATGGTATCAGTAAGCAATATCAATATTGAGTAGTTAATATTAGTACGAGTATAGATAAAGCATTGAAGAAGATTGATCCCATTACAAGCTGTAAAGACGCTGTAAGTGAATCAGCCTTAGTATTAGCAGAAGCTTTTTGCTAAGACTTTAATTCCACAGAAATGAGTGATCAATGTACAGTAAGCATTCCACTTGATGTATTGTATAAATAGATAACTATCAATAAGTTTGCACTAGCTGATAGCTGCCTAAGCTACGTGAACCGATCGATAAAGTCCTTTTATAACATGGTACAGTTCGATTGTATGGAAAAGTATGTATTAGTTTGACTGTATTGACTGATTTCGATGGTGTTCATGAAAAATAATGTGATAGTCAATCAACTGCATACTTGTAATGTAAACCATTTGCAAGAAAATATGATTCCATCTCCCACTTACCTAAATTGAAGGTGATGGTTGAAGGAAGAAAGAAATCAAGATAAAGCACGGATATCCAATAACCTTGATTCACTAATTGATCATTACCTTGATTGTTAAACAAGAGTAAATCGCAACTGCACACTTGTAATGTAAACAATTTGCAAGAAAATATGATTCCATCTCCCACTTACCTAAATTGAAGGTGATGGTTGAAAGAAGAAAGAAATCAAGTTAAAGCATGGATATCCAATAACCTTCATCCACTAATTGATCATTTTCTTGATTGTTAGACAAGAGTCAATCGTTGCTTAGACCCAAAATACGAATATTCTAAATAAATATCTTGACTGTTAAGCCTCCGAACCAATGTCGAACTAGCCGTAGCGATGGAGACGGCAGTCGATCTGGTACTGTACGGCCGAATTACAGTGGAAAGCATTACAGTACATACTGTAGTACGGCCTGTACTGTCACAGAAAAGGATGACAGGACGTACGGATTGTACTGGTGTTCTGTGTAGACTGAGTTCGGTTCGGTTCGGTTCGATACCTTTATAGTCTATACTTCTGTGTCCATTAGCGGCTGCAGCGCCATTTCTGCGTTTCCTTTTCGTGCACTTGCAACTAAAAATGTCTTTAGCCTTCATTCATTAGTTGTTAGTTCCTTTTCTAATTACATCACCATCAAACACCTCTATAGTTTAAGTATTACAGTTCTTCTTATCATTATCGATATTCAATTATTTTCTGTTATTCTTTAAGGCATAACGGAAAACGAAGGAGTGGCATTCGTCATTACAGTAAATTGATAGTAGGACAGAAATACACACTTTAGCTCAATTAAATGAAGAACAGTTTGAAATTATTTTTATGTTTTTAAGGAATACTACCAACGAAGGAGCAGCATTCGTCGTCCAATTGACAGTAGTAGTAATACAAAAACCGTACTCTTCGTCAGCCATTTTCTCATAGAACTGAAATATAGACTTTGATTCAAGTTGATGAAGAATGATTTATTTAAAAAATCATTATTTGCTTCAAAAATTGCATAATTCATATCATTCGAATCAGCATTGGATGCTTGCTATGCTAATGTACAGCAATGTTATTTTCATATCAGCTATTTTAATAAAAGTAGAAATCAAATTTATTCCTATCCACTCGTATCTGTTTTTACGGCCATTCCGAAGACTGATTTTGTCCCCTTAAGATTGGTCATGGCTAGACCTGACTCGTGGCCAATAGTAGGGCTGCAATCATTCCTAAGAATGTCCGGCCAATGTTAGGAATGATTGAGGTCTTAGCATTGGCCATAATCAATCTTAAGGGGACAAAATCAGTCTAAGTAATGGTCGTAACATATACATTTAACTCAATGATTAATGTATAAAAATCACTTCATATGCTAGATATCGGTATAAACTACTGTGTTTGCACGTTAGTTTTAGCTACATTTTTTCCCATTTAAAGCGTTTAAAACGAAATTAAACTATCGTAGTTTCTTATGGGTGAAACTTGCCATCATGTCAAGCTGGACTTAAATTTTTGACTTGGCATGAATTCACATACACGCATGTTACTTTGCATCGAATATATTATATTATACGCGTATACATATGGCTTAGTCCGATTTATTAATCATTTCCGAATACATAACGCTTGCAAGTCTGCCAAGGTATATGCAATACGCATAAGTTTTCAAAAATTTTAGAAACGGGCAGGGGATGGGGTGGGATTGTGGCGTTCATTCCTCTTCAAGGCTTGACTAACACGTGGGAGTTGGAAGCAGAAAAAAGAATAAAATTCTTCCAACGACTAATTATTAATTAATTAATTATTTATACCAACGGTTGGTATTGTGATTGCAATATCCAATTATACTGTGCTGTATCATTATAATATTTGACCTGTATATTACAGATTATAGTGCGTTGAACATGTAAGGTATCTATAGATACCTACAATAAATTCCTTCTTTATCATTCTACATGATTCAATAGCCTTTAAACGGCGATTTCCTCGCTAAACCAACTCAAAATTATGAACGGATGAGATATAAACGACTTGCTATAATCTTACCGTTTTCATGCAGTTACGCCACTTAGCCATTCTATCGGGCAGAAATTTAAAAACCGACTACTGATTTTATTCAACATTATTATACCTAGCACACATTTATAGAGTATCTGAAATGACAGAATTAGATATCGACAGCATGAAGAATGAATATAGATGCTGTAGACTCAAAATGAACATTAATACTGCTATTGAATTTGGCCAGCAGAAATGGAGTTTATCTAAGAGAGTCTGCCACTAATTATAATTACAACAAGTTTGTATCTAGGTATCGTTACCTTGGCTAAAGCTACAGATTTAACAATTCTCAACTGTTGACAGTACTGTAATGATAATATCATTAATAAATTTACATTCACAGCTTGATAAAAGCACGTATTCAGTTCAAGAAAACAACCTGATCGATGATGAATAAATATTGCAAAAGTATCATTAAAATTAGATCTTGGTACAAGTACCGTATACAATAAAAAAATAAGTAATACAATGACAAACAATTCAAATCAATGAACTAAATTTTACTAGAACTACGTTCAAAAAAATATACATACCTATCTAACTTACTCGTATGCAATATACATGTAAGAACGTGACGAAGAAAATCTTCACCTTATTTAAGCAATTGGTGAAACTTTAGCAAAATTGCGCATGGATTCTCGAATGGTTGTTCGAATTTCGTTAGAGAGTAAAGCATAAGCAACCGGATTGACAGCAGGATAACAAAATGCTAGATATTGGGCTATCTTCAAGGCCATGTAAAAATCATCCATTTTAAGGATGTTGCTCAAAATAAATGGATTAATGGCTATTATATAGCATATAAAAAATGGTGACCACATGATGATATATAAAATCATAGTCATAGTTAAAGTAATCGAGACTTTACGTTGATTAAAAGAAGTCACACGATGTT